CAGAGGATCCAAAGTGGGCTCTGTGCTGACAGCAGAAAGCCCAACGCAGGTCTTGAACTCATGAGCCCTGAGATCATGACCTGAGCCAAAGTCGGATGCTTAACCGACTGAGCCACCCAAGTGCCCCTGGTGTCTTTATAAAAAGAGGAAAATTCGATGGGGCGCCTGGGTGGCGAAGTCGGTTAAGCGTCCGACTTCAGCCAGGTCACGATCTCGCGGTCCGTGAGTTCGAGCCCCGCGTCAGGCTCTGGGCTGATGGCTCAGAGCCTGGAGCCTGTTTCCGATTCTGTGTCTCCCTCTCTCTCTGCCCCTCCCCCGTTCATGCTCTGTCTCTCTCTGTCCCCAAAATAAATAAAAAACGTTGAAAAAAAATTTAAAAAAAAAAAAAAAGAGGAAAATTCGAGACAGACGTGCACACAGGGAGAAGTCATATGAAGATGAAGGCAGAGATCTACAAGCCAACGGATACCAAAGATTGCTGGGAAACCACCAGAAGTTGAGAAAAGAGGGATTGAGCAGAGTATCTCTCTCATGCCCTCAGAAGGACCAAACCATATCAAAACCTTGATCTCTTGTAGCCTCCATAATTGAGACAATACATTTTTCTTATTTAAGTCACCCAGTTTGTGGTACTTTTTTATGGTAGCCCTAAAAAACAAATACAACATTTTGTTTTTGTTTTGTTTGTTTTTTTTTTCAAAACCCCCACTTTATGGAAAATAACTACAGTTTCCAAAACAAGTAAATATTAGTGACTAGTGTTGCATTATATTTTTGCAAATCTCTTTAATGTCTGGCAGTTGGGTTTCCATAGCTGCTTGTGCCTTTGTACTCTTAGTACTCTCAGTTCAGTCCTAACCTCTTCAGTAGGAGACAACTGGACTCTGGCATGGCTTCTAGCAGCACAATGCTGTGTCCCTAGAAAGACACCATCCTCCCAGTGAAATGCCTGCTGACTGCCTCCCTGAGAAATGCTGCCGGGAGAATTTGCTCTTTGTTCTGGTGAACACCCAAGGATAGCTCCTGACCTCCTCTTCTTATAGCATTTACTAAAAAAGAGCTTAGAACTGAATTCTTTCTGTCTGAGATGTCTGTGTACATCCTACAACTCAGTCTTTTTTAAGGAAAGTTTCCTTTGAAACAGAATGGTCAGAAAGGAGAGGGCTGCTGTCTCTAGTCTCTGTGGGAGGGTAGAACCCTAACTTTGATAATCACCAGGCAACAGCTCACTGGCTCAATCATATTTACACTGACCAACACTTTGTAGTTTTCCACATGAGTCCTGCTCTCTCCCCCTTCTGATTCCCTTATTCTTCTTTAAAAGGCCCAGTCACCTCTGCACAAATGCAAGTGGGGTTCAGTGCTCTCCCCCACTGTCAGCAGTTACTGAATAAAATCTGTTTTCACCATGTTAATCAATGTCCATTTTGTTTATCTTTAACACTATCATTCTGTTGCAATATTACACATTCAGAAGTCTCTGGAAAACTCTATTGTACATTTGTGAGAAAATGGGAGTGGGGGGAAAAGCTATTATTATGAACTCATGGGTTTTTTTCCTTCCTTTTCAAGTTTTTATTTAAATTCTGGTTAGTTAACATATATGGTAAAATTTGTTTCAGGTGTAGAATTTAGTGATTCATCAGTTACATATAACACTCAGTGCTGAACTTAGTTTTGAACTCACCAACTCACAGGGTCTCAGGAAGCTCCAGGGTGTCCCTGGCCCACACTTTGAGAACTACTGCAACAGACAAACGTCCTATAATATAACCAAGGAGAAAACAAAAATATAAGTAGTAGAAAATTAAAAATTGAAACAATACGGAAACATCATGCATTGAAACTTCAGCACTATTAGAACCAGGAGGAAAGTTGTGCCCAGTGACTCATTCCACATAAATACATGGGGCTGCTCTAAGATAACAGACTCAACCCTCCCTCATCTTTTCCACCCTTTTGGGGCTGCTGCAGAGAGGAAGGCTATACTTCCTCCTGGGACTTCTCTGCCCACCGAGAAAGGAATACTGCCTGGAAATTGTGTGGGAACCCAGCAGTGGCCACATTCAGTCTCCCGGAGACTGCCTGATTCATGGTTCCCACAGCAGCTCCTGCCCTCTGCTCAAGTCAGTGAAGATGCCTGACAAATGCCCCTCCTGGTGCTGCTGACCCCTGCCGCGCTGGGCACTGGGCGGGGTGGCAAGGGAGATGCCCAGCATTGCCAGCAAGGACGCGCAGGCCCCGGGTCTCAAAGCAGGGCACCCCACTCCCGCGTGGACAGACGCGCACCTTCAATGGGGGCTGGAGGAGCAAAGGCCACCTAGGCGCCGCGGACGCGCGCAGACACGAACCCCCAGCTGCCAGGCTGGGAGGACGGACGACCCCTAGCACCAGGGTCCCCTCGGAGCCCGCCCCGGCGCCACAGCCCTCGGCGGCCCCCGGCCGCCGCCGCCCTCCAGGCAAGCCTCGCGGGGGTCTGCGGCAGGAGCGCCCCCAGTGGCCGGAGGCCCGAAGGAAGGACAGTCCCATTGGCCCGAAGCCAGAAGGCTCTCATTGGTCGAAGGTTCGACGAACAGAGGTTTCCATTGGTCAGGCTCTGAGGCACGCCGCACGGCCTTCTGGGAGTTGTAGTTGCAGCGTCACCAGCGCGGCCGCCATTGTCCCGCGGGCGGCGAGTGGAGTGGTCCCTGAGGCGGGGGCTGCTCTCGGGTTTACGGCCGCTTCGGGCTCCTGTTCTCGACCTGTCGGTCCAGGATGAACCCCGAAGAGGAAGCGACAGCACTGGAGATGGCTACAGGGCTGCCAGCGGAATGGCTTCAGGTAAAGTAATAATAATAACGATTGCAGCGGGTCCAGCGTCTCCCGCAGGTATTGGCCCTTTAACCCTGGCAGCGCACGGTGAGCAGGGCCCGGGCCTTATCCCCCTTTACACTTGAGAAAACTGAGGCGCAGTTCAGGGCGCGCTGACTGGCCCGACTGGTGAGGGTGGAGTTTGGATTCGAACCCGGGCCATCAGGTCCCCCAGTGCGCATGCTCCCCTAGTACGCCAGTTTCCTTGTTCTGGGATGGGGTTTAGTATCATTTCCTAGGACCAGGCTGGCCCGGCTCCCGCCGATTGCTTTCCCCGCGAAGGCCATCTGCCATGTGATGGTGTCAGTGGAGCGCCGAGATGGCAGGTATTTCCGAATAGAAATGCTTTAATTCACGGAGCCAGCAAACACTCCCCGAGAGCCCTGCTCCGCGAGGCCCCTGGCCAGGGGGCTGGGCACAACCCCAGAGGATGATGACAGGTCACCAGGCACGGCATAACGGGCGGGAGCGACTACCAGGGCTCCTTCCCAGCACCGCTCCCTCGCGGGGGCTGTGGGCGAATTGCACACTGGGCGGTCCGTGCCTGCAAGGCCATCTGGGAAGGTGCCTGTTTCAAAGATCCTGCAATTGTAGACAAAGTGGCCGCTCCCTGTGTTCTCCATAAAGTGCTGTCTCCACGTGGCAGAAACCAAAAATAATTCATAATTCCTGAAGCTCCGCATCTTTGAAATTCTGGACTTACTGTGTTTTGTTGTTGTTTACCAGGATTTGCATTATTTCAGATTTTGTATGCAAAGTGAGATTATTGATAACCTTAGATTTGCATGTTTTCAGATATGTGTTATGCAGATTTGCATTAAATCACACTTTAGTGGGGCGCCTGGGTGGCTCAGTCGGTTAAGTGTCCGACTTCAGCTCAGGTCACGATCTCGCGGTCGGTGAGTTTGAGCCCCGCGTCAGGCTCTGGCTGGGCTGATGGCTCAGAGCATGGAGCCTACTTCCCATTCTGTGTCTCCCTCTCTCTCTGCCCGTCCCCCGTTCATGCTCTGTCTCTCTCTGTCCCAAAAATAAATAAACGTTAAAAAAAAAACTTAAAAAAAAAATCACACTTTAGTGGGGCACCTTGGTTGAACATCTTTTTTTTTTTTTTAATTTTGTTTGTTTTTATTTATTTTTGAAAGACAGAGGATGAGCCGGGAAGGGGCAGAGAGAAAGGGAGACCCAGAATCTGAAGCAGGCTCCAGGCGCTGAGCTGTCAGCACAGAGCCCAACGCGGGGCTCGAACTCACAGACCGTGAGATCATGACCTGAGCCATAACCGACTGAGCCACTCAGAGGGTCTGACTCTTGATCTCAGCTGGGGTCTTGATCTCTTGGTGGTGAATTTGCCTCCAGCTGGGCATGTGAAGCCTACTTTGAAAGAGAAAAAAAATCACACTTTGGTCTGCAGTGGATGGAGGGGGTGGGGCAGGGAATGAGCAATGTCAGTGTAAAACAGTAATTAAGGCAGTCAAAACAGATTTTATTCAGAAACTATTGCAATAGAGGGAAAGAGACTTCAGTATAGAAGTGGACTCAATTCCAAATACTATAAGTAAAAGTGGGAATTTCTAGCTGGGTTCTGGGGTGGGTATAATTCTTGCCAAACTGACCTAGGGATTCTTGCTGAAGCAGGCTAAGTGATCAGATATTACCTGAAGGATTCTGTGGGATGAGGACTTTGAAAAGATACAGAGAGTAATTAGATATGGTGGGTGGGGATTCTGACTAA